GCAGCCTCGGGCAGGCGTGGGCCTGGGACTGACCATCTGAGAGGCTGCGATTAGGGGAGGGACGGTCAGCCACACTCCTCCCCAGCCTCGCCTTGCAGGTCCAGGGTTGCGTGACCAGTGGGACTCTCCAGGATCAGGCGCCCCTTCCCTGCCCTGTCCTCCCTTGGCCTTCCCTGATCCTGCGGGCTCAGGCGTTGCCAAATGGCTCCATGGTGGGCATCATCTTTGCTCCAGGCTGCCCGAAGGCTGGCACCTGGGGCCTGCAGGGAAGGCATCGGAGGGAAGGGTGGGTTTTCTCTCCTCTCCACTTGAGACTCTTCCTCCTAGCCGGACCCCCAGGCCAGCCGGGGCGGGGGAGTGGTCCAGGCTTGGCACCCCCTCTGCCCCTTTCTCCTGCCTGGCCGAGAGGTGCCTCCAGCGCCCACTGCTGGGCAGAGCCGAAAGCGCTCCTCCCTCTTCCCGGAGCTGATGGGCTTCGGGGCTCTTGACAGTTACAATAACAAGGCCGGCCGGGCTCTGTTTCCCAGCAGGCGGACGGCTCCGCTGAAAGATGTATAGCACTAATTAGAAACGCATAACATCCGGCCACATGGCGGCCTTCTTCTCCCGGCCGATCCGTTTCCTGAGACCCGACAACTTTGACGACAGTTGGTTTATGTTTTCCACGAATATTTTGTTCTCTGGGAAACCAGAAGCCCCTCGGCAGCACAGGGCGACCCAGGTAGCTTGGCAGGGCCGAGGCCGGCACCCGGCCTGGACGATGGGCCGGCCGGAAGTCCCAGGCCCTGGCTTGGAAAGTGCTGCTCCTCATGCTGGGGGCCAGAAGGAAGCCCCCCCCCCAGCCGCTTTGGCCCCGTGACAAGCCCTTGCCTGGGCAGGCAGCCTTGGGAGCCTGGCAGGGCCAGCCACTGGTCCCAAGTCAGCCTTCCCTTCCTTCTGGGTCATCCTCCGGCCACCGTGTTGACCATGAAAGCAGCTTCCGGTCTTTCTGAGGCAGGAGGTTCCCCCAGATGGCAGAGTCAGCGGAGGAAGATTTTAGGAGGAAAAGAAGAAGAGCCCAGTCTCCTCTCTCCAGCCCAGGCAGCCACCCTACCGGAGGTCCCTGGCGTATCCCCCAAGGCGCCTGGGAGGGGTTTGCGGGTGGGGGGCATCCAGCCTAACCCCCGGGAGCATGGCCCTCCCCTCAAGACCAAAGGCTGCAAGAAACGGGGCTGCTTCCACTTCGGGAGGTGGGGGCTCCAGGGAGGGAGCCCTCCTGAATTGGTGGGTGTTGGGAATCAGATTCAAGCAAGAATAATGGCTTTAGGGGCTAAGAAATAGTCTGTGGGTGAAAGACCCCCCCCTCCCCTGCCTATGACAGTTTGGCAAGGGAGATGGCAACAGTTTGGCCTGCCTAGCAGGGACAGAGATTCTCCCGTGGGGGAGCTGTGGGCCTGGAGCTGGGTCCGAGGGTCAGGTTAGAACCCCCGCAATACCGGGAGTTCTCGGCTGACAACGAGAGAAATGGCTGATGGCCTCCCCGGGGTTGCAGCCTCCCGGGGTCACGTGATCCCCTTTTGCGACCTCCTGACCAGCAAAGTCAGCGGGGAAACTGGATTCACTTAACAACCATGTTACTAACATGACAACGGCAGGGATTCACTTAACAACTGTGGCAAAAAAGGTCGTAAAGCAGGGCAAACTCACTTAAGGACTGTCTCGCTTAGCAATGGAGATGTTGGGTCATCAGTGATGATAAGTTGAGCACCATCTGTCCTTCCTTTGACTCGAGGTATATTAATGTCATAACATGTGAAGTGACTTGCTGGGTGCTCCGCCTCTGTGCCGCCATTGATGTCCTGCTGGCGATTTTAGCCCCTTCTTCAGTTTCTGGGCACTCACAGCAGCTGCCCTTAACGATTGCAGCTTGACCGCCTTAGTTGGAGGCGTCGCAGCCGGACCTCAAGTCTCGCTGCTCTGCCGTGGGGAGGAGGCCCTTTGGAGGCCTGGAGGCTGAGGGACACGCGGCCAGCCCCTCTCTCGTAGGGCAGGGGTTTTAGGGTGAGCCGCCCTTAGCCTGCCAATGCCCGCTGTGCGGATTGGCCTGAGGAGGGGTACTCAAAGTCCCTTGATTCCCACGGACCCCCTGGGTACAGAACTGGGGAGGAGGGGCACCGAGAACCAGGAGAAACAGTTTATTTATTTATTTATTGGTTTGATTTATATGCCGCCCTTTCTCCGGAGACTCAGGGCGGCTTACAATGCTTTTAAGGAATAGCCTTCATACTTTTGTATATACCTGCTTAGTAGGGCTTTCGGGTCCCCCTAAGCGGTGTTCTTTTTATACAAAGTCAGCTTATTGCCCCCACAAACCTGGTCCTCATTTTACCTACCTCAAAAGGATGGAAGGCTGAATCAACCTTGAGCCTGGGGAGATTTGAACTCGCAGTAATTGCAGGCAGCTGGTGCTACTTAATAGCACTTTAGTCTGCTGTGCCACCAAGGCAGTTGAGCATCCTTGAGACATGGCTGCCCTTCTACCTCTGAAAAAAACTCCAGTGGTGGTTTCAGATCTTATTGCCAGGCAGTTTTCTCCTTTCCTAGCTAAGGAAAATCTGGGTAACTGTACTTGAGCCCCTTATTTCTGGGCCTATGGAAAAGAGGCCCCGATCTTCTTCTCTCTGCTCCCGAAGACGGACACCGTGTCTTCCCTTGTCTTCAGGCTGAAGATCCCCAATTCCTTCCGTCCGTCCTCCAACCTCTGGATCCATGTGGTTGCTTCCTCTGACCCTCTTTAATCCCCCAGGATCCTTCTGGGGACACAAAGTGGGATGAGCCTTTGATATTTAAAAAAAATAGTCCTGAAGGAGCCCAGAGGTGGCTTCCCACAAAGGGGGCTCAGCCCTGAGCAGTCACCCTAGTGGGGGGGGGGGCTGGATTTCCCCTGTGGCATCCTCCCCTGAGGGGTGGGGGAGCGTTTTGTGGTGTTTCCGGTCCTTCTTGGCCAAGCCCTGGAAGTGGCGCGAGGGGCCTTGCCGTTCCGCAGCTCCAGGGAGCAGCCAGCAAGGGGTGTTGGGGCCAGTGCCACCAGGCTGCTGAAGGTGCCCAACTCTGTGGCCAGCAGCCGGTCCCTGGTGTGGCTCCTTGCTTTTAAAAAAGGCGGAGAAGGTGACCGTCAGAGTCTGGACTGGGGGAGGAAGTTCAGCCTCTTGGGGCTTCCTCTTCCGACAGGAACAGCTCCATGTAACAGAATGATAGAGTTGGCAGGGACCTTGGAGGTCCTCTAGTCCATCCCCTGCCCTGGTCAATCAGGAGAGCCTGTACCATTTCAGACAAGTGACTGTCCAGTCTCTTCTTAAAAACCTCCAGTGATGAAGCGCCCACAATTTCTGGAGGCAACTTCTGTTCCACTGGTGAATTGTCCTCACTGTCAGGAAGTTTCTCCTGAGTTCCAGTTTGCTTCTCTCCTTGATTAGTTTCCATCCATTCTTCCTTTTCTGGCCTTCAGGGGCTTTGGAGAATAGCTTGACCCCCTTCCTCCTCTCTGTGGCAGCCCCTCATGTCTCCCCTAATTCTTCTTTTCACTAGGCTAGACATAATCCAATTCCTGCCACCGTTTTTCATATGTTTTTGCCTCCAGCCCCCTAATCATCTTTGGAGGGGCATCGTGGGATGGTCCTTGAATCCCAGCTGTTCCTTCACCTTTACCCACTGATGGCTAGATTACATCTGGTCTTGACTGCCGCAACCTGCTCCACACAGGACTCCTCTTGGCAATTGCATCTGGTGTAAAACGGGGGGAGGCAGGCTGCCAGCCTGGGTGAAGCCCGGCCGAGATCGTGTCTTACTTGCATTGGAACATCTGCCCCAGTTGCTGGTTGTCTCCTGAGCTCTTCCTCAGGACTTGTCGATGTGTTTCAGCCCCGAAAGCCCGAGGGTCTGAATGCCAGGAACGCCAAGACCTGAATGCCGGGTGGTTGATACCAGCAGAGAGGCAGTTTTAAGGAAGCCCTGGAGTGGAAGGTCCTTCCACCTCCTCCTGCGCGGCTCCCTTGGAGATCAGCTTTGGCCCCCGTCCCCTCTGCCTTCGGGCCCCTCTCTTGCCTGGCGTTTAACTGAAGGGACTTCCTGTTTAGTTTCCTGCATTAAAACAACGGTAACTGTCTTGACTTAGTGGTGCTTTTTCCAAAAAGGCAGATGGACTTTTTGGTTTGTTTTCCTTGAAAACATTTCACTTCTCATCCAAGAAGCTTCTTCGGTTCTTCCAAAACTTCTTGGACGAGAAGCAAAACGTTTCAAGGGGGGGAAAAAAAACCCAAGAAAATCCAGTTGCCTTTTGGAAAAGCATCTTTGGGCCACGCGTGGCCTGGATGGTTGGGACTCTCCATAGACATGTAATCGTCTTGAGTGCTTCTCTGAGTCAATAAGCCACATTAGTCAGGTAAGAAGCAATCTTCGTAATGAAAACTTCCTCCCGGCTGACTGCAGGCCGTATTTTGGGGGACAGTGCTGGTGCTTCACCCCTCGGCTGCTTCACAGACACTGTTGGCTGCGAGAGTGCCAAGACAGAACCGCCTCTCCTGCCTCCCTCCCTGCCCCACTTAGGGGCATAGGTGGCCCACTGCTTTGGGGTCAGACTACTCCCGACCTACTCTTTCCCGTTTTGCCAGCCGCATAAAAACAAAAGCCATTTTTAATGCAACTGGCAGGGCTGATTTATAAAAAAAAAAAATCCTTGCCAAGGGTCCAAGAGATTAGGACAGGCACCCCCAAGTTAACAGGGCATCCTGCCAGTCCCACAGGAGGCCTCACCTCAGCACCCCAGGAGGGATCTGGACGGGGAAGGATTGGGGGCGCAGGGGAGGGCCTTGGGGGGGGCTCCTCCCCTTTCCTCCCTGGGCAGCTGGGTGCCGACAGCCTCTACAGGGTGAACATGCCAGTGGGTGAGGCGGATCAGGCCCCGTGGAATGGGCGTGGCCCCCTGCCTCCTCCTTCCCTGCAGCCTCTTGCTTGTCTCCTAGAGTGCCTGGCCGAAGACTGCCGCTCCGTGATCCAGGAGCAGGCCTGTGCCCTGGGCCTCGCCATGTTTGCCATCCTGGTCAAGCGCTGCACCCGCCTGCTGCAAGACGTCTCCTTAGGTAAGGCGAAGGGGCACCCCGGCATCCCTGCAGGAGACGCTGCCCTGGGCTCCTTCGACCCACAGGCTGCGGATCTGGCCCTTTTCTTCTGGGGGGCCTGCAGTTGCCCAGACACGGCCCTGGGCAAGGGTGAGATGCCGCTCGGCCCATCCAGCCCATCCCCGTCCAGCCCATGGTCTCAAGAAGGGAATGCAAGGAGCAGCCTTGGGGAGGAAGCCTCCCCAGCAGATGCGCCCTGGCCCACCTCCAAGGCTTTTGACTGTGGTTGTGCTTTGGGGGGACAGATTTGGGGTTTCGGATCCCTCTGGATTTCAGGGCTCCTTCCGGCTCGCCTTGGGTGGGCTCCCATCCCCAGGAACCTCTCCAGGGGCCGGGATTGAGGAGGAGAAGCCGAGGGGGACACAGCAGGGCAGCCCCTAAACCCCGGTGGGCTTTGCCGCCCTTCATCTAACTTGCCCTGCTCAACGTCCACCTGCATAGGGTGCCTGGGGTGCCCGGCATGGCAGGTCCGGCTTCCTGGGTCCCTTTTGCCCCGGCCGAGACCTTCAGCCGTAGCCTCGGTTCCCCCCACGGCCTGCAGGGAGGAGACCTGCTCGTGAGCTCCTGCTTGTCAGAAAACAGCCCGGGTTTCAAATGTTACCACAGCACGTACAGACCACAGTTGGTGGACTCCGTCTCGCTTGGGGCCACGATAAAAATAGCCCCGAACTCCTCTGCCGTCTTGGTTTAGCGCAGGTGGAAAGCGGTTTGCATTGAGCCTGCGAGGAAATGGGCCCCAGCCCACGTTCTCCCCCAGGAGCGGTTCCCCCAGGTTGCCTGCGGACAGACAGACATCCCCCAGCGTGCCCAGGGACCCTCTGGGCACAGAGGCCTCACCCCACCCCCCATCTTCCTGGGCCTGGCCCCTGCAAGGCTGGGGGGGGCGGCTCCTCCTTTTGGGGGGAGAGCTTGGTTTGTGCTTCTGCTGCCTTGAGCTTCTCTCCAGCCCTGCACCTCTGGGTGGGGGAGCCCAGGGCCCTTGGCACCCTCTCCACCGCACCCCACACATGAGGTTCACTCCTCAGTCAGGTGCCTGGCCCACTCAGTGCTCTGAATTGCAAAGTTCACACACACAAATTCACACACACACACACAAATATTAAGGTAATCCAGTTGGTTTGCTTGTTTATGTATTGCGCATTTATTTCTTGGGCTGCCCCAACCTGTATGAGTCTGGGCAGAATCAAACCTGTGAAAAATAAAGAACACAGATAGTCCTCAACTTAGAACAGTTCATTTAGCGACCATTCGAAATTACGCCTACACTGGAAAAAGCGACATACGGCCTTTTTTCAAGCTTTCAAACACTGCGGGGTCCCCCTGGCGAACCTCATCAAAACCCGGAGGACGCTTGGCGGCTGGCACGTCACTGCGACAGTCTCTCCGTCCCTTTTGCAACCTTCCGACAGGCAGAGTCCATGAGGAAGCCCGGTTCACTTAACAACCATGGCAAGCAAGGTCGTAAAAAAGGGGCAAAGCTCACTCCACCACTGTCTTGCTTAGCAACAGAAATTTTGGGTTCAAGGCTGGTCATAAGTCCAGGACTGCCTGGATGCCACCCCTAAGGGAACCCTTCAGAAATCAGTGAAAGAACTGAGACCCAGGCAGGTTTAAGGGCTCACTTATGGGGGGGCGGGGAAGAATAGGAGCCTTGAATGGGGTTGCAGAGAGGGGGTCACTTCCTGGGTCCCCCCCCCAGTGACCCCGGTTGTCATAATGCGGCTGTTCCCATTGTGTTGTGCGAGGGCAGCCATGGGGAGCCACTGTGCTGGGGTTCCCCGTGTGCTGCCTTGGCAAGCTGGAGGGGCCAACCCCACTCTGACCTGTCCCCCTCCTTTCCGGCAGCGGCTCAAGCCCAGGGGGACCCCGAGGAGGATGACATCAAGGTCTCCGCTTTCCCGCCGGACCTGAAGGAGCTCCTTCCCAGCATCAAGGTCTGGTCGGACTGGATGCTCGGACACCCGGACACCTGGAACCCCCCGCCCAGCGCCCTGGAGCTGCCCCCACCGTACGTTTGATGCTCTTTGGGGGGTGGGGGGTCTGTCCAGAAGGAAGGGACTCTTCTGAGTCACACCAGTGCTCCCTCTTCCTCCTTTTCACAAACACACCCTTTGTGTCCTGTGGGTAAGTGTGGGGGGGGGGAGAAACCCCGTCTCTCTGGACCAGCGAGGGGATTCTTGGCGCTGCCCTCCCTCCAGATGGTGGAAGAAGGCTGGGCTGGCTCGCCCTGAAAGAGACCCCCTCCCTTCTTGCCTTTGGGGCAGAAGGCCCCCTCCCCGGTTCCTCCTGGGCAGAGCCCTTAGGGCTCCCCTCGGGGAAGGCTAGGGGAGCTCCAGCGAGGAAGGGTCCCCCTCCTTCGGAGCAGAGAAGCGGGATTTCTGGCCCCCTCCAGCTCCTTCCCCTTTTTCTCACTGCCACTTTTTGCCTTTTTTCCCCGTTTTGGCCGAGGAAATGGAACTCTCACACAGGAAGTGCCGGGCCCCCCTTTGGGGAGGGGGACGGGTCTGTTTTCTGTTTGCTGGCTGGCTGGCTGGGAAGGAGGCAGGGAGGGAAGGGGGCTGCTACCCTCCCCTGAGAGCAATCGGTGGGCCTTCCTGGGCAGCCGCTCAGGCCCAGAGCGGGCAGAGAAGGGGTGCCAGGTGTGGCAGTGCCAACGCCTTCCTGCTCCTCTTCCCCTGGATGGGGTGCCAGCCCAGCCGCCTCCCTCCCAGATCGGGGGGGTTCCTCGGAGCTGCTGAAGGGCTCCGGCTGCTCTCATCGCCTCCCCCCTCCTTTTCAGGGCCATCATTGATGGGTGGGTGGGTTTCTCCTCCCCCCCCCCCCCCACACACACACTGGTTCCGGAGAAGCAGGAGCCTCATTGCTCTTCCTCGGCTGACGGAGCCAATTCCCCTTGCTGCCTCCTGCTGAAGAAGGTCAACGGTGGGGAGGGCTGGGGGTCTCTCGGGCGAGGGGCAGGAACTCCCCCCACCCCACAGCCGGCCCAGCACAGCCCTCGCGCAGGGCGCTTGCCCCGTCCCCCGGCTGGCAGTCGGTTCCCAGGGAGCCAGCACGGCTCCGAGGCCACGAAACTCAGCCCAGCTGCGGCAGTTGGTTTATTGCTTTCAGCTGGTACTTGAACCCGGGTCTCGCGCGCTGGAGCCCTGCCCGGGCTTAATCCCCGGAGCTTTCTCTGCAGCTGTATGACACTTCGCTGACCCTGGATGAGGATAGGAAAAGGGAGGCCGTGCCAAGCCAGCGTCTCTTTTTCATTTGGAGCCTGGCGGGCTGCCCGTGACCAGGGTTACATAATGGGAAACATAGCTGCTGCAGAGCCCTCCTCGCCAGGCTGCCTGGGCCCTCCCCACGCTGCACATCTCCCTAACTGCCCCCCCCCCAAATCCGGAGATGGCTGCCTTCCGCTCTCCCCACTCTCTGCTGCGCCGGGAGGAAGGCAGGCAGGCAGGCAGGCGGTGGCACTGCTGGACGCCAGGTGTGGGGCACGAAGGAAGCAGGCACTTCCCATGGCTGCTGCAGAGGGAAGCCTCTCCTTGGGGTGGCGGGTGAGTGAGCCAAAAGGCAGCCGCTCCCCTGCCCCCCTCCCCGTTGCATCCTTGTAGCGAGGGGGGGGCCTCAAGGTTTCTCTTGGCGCTGGAGACGAGCTGCCTGTGTTTGCCCAGAGCAGGGAAGGTGACCCCGTGGCCCTGCCTGTCCAGCTCTGGGGCTGCCAAATCCCACCCGGTCCGCCTCCGGCAAAGAATCCGGGGTTCTCTGCTCCAGTCCCAGGTGGGTGGCATCAAGGCCTTGCCAGCTGGTGCCCAAAGCCATGCCTGCAAAGGAAGGCTTGCTCAGAAGGCCAACGGAAGAGGGAAGAGCGGGGGCTCCTTAGCCAGGCCTGGTCTGCCCATGACGGCATGATCCTGCCACCCTCAGGATGCCAGTAGGATTGCCAGGTGGGGTTGCTGGCTAGACTGGGCATGCTTGGCAGGAGCCCCTCCCAGCCCCAACCCCCCTTGAGCTGCCCAGGATGTCCTCTGGGCCTGTAGGCTGCATTTCCCCCCTCCCCTTCTCAGGTGGGGCAACCTCAGCGCTGGAGACATGTTATGGGCCCCCGGCTTTTTCTTCAATGGCCGAGGAAGGACGAGAGGAAAACTGGGTGCCCAGCAGCAGGACACTCAGGAGCAAGTGGAAAGCGAGGGGTCCATAGCCCCTCATCCCCCGCTTCTCGGCCCGTGGTTCTCACGTTAAGTCCCCAGAGAGGAGGCAGCCTGCGGGCTCTTGTGCCCGGCTGGGTCTCTTCAGCTGACCCACTCATGGCCATGGGGGGGGGGGGGGGTGTCAGGAGTGCCCCCCCCAAGAAGGGGGGGTGTGGGAAGGTTCCTCCCCGTTTAACCCCCTGCTTCGCCCCCCCCCCCCCCCCTCTTCTCCCCCCCCCCCCCCCCTCCAAGCCTCTTCGCCCCTGTTGGCCCCGCTGGCCAGCAGCTTGGGCAGGGGTCCCAGCCCGCCCCTGGCTTGGGTGTGCAGATGGAGCGTTGGGGTTTGATTTATGGCCGCCGACCCAGCCCCTCTCCCGGGGCCCTCGGGAAGCGTGCAAGATGTTTCGTTTCAGCCCGATGCTCCCCCCCCCTCACACACACACCCCTCCCGCACGTTGATTCCATCCAATAAATGAGAGCAGATTCTCCACCTGGAGCAGCTTTTGGGGAGGGGGGGCGGCTGGCTGGAAGCCTGTCCCAGAGAAGGTTAGCTCAAAGTCAGCCCCCTTTCCTGCTCCCCCCCCCCCCCCCCACTGCCCTGTTGCCCTGCCTTTCTTTAGCCACGTGCTCCCTCCCCTCTGTCCTGGCAATGGGGCAGCCCCCAGTTCAGCAACCCTGGGCAAGGGACCTCCAGCCTGCAAATATTCCCAGCCACTTCGGAGGTTGCCTCAGCCTGCCAGCGCCCCGTCCACCCCCTGGGTCCGAAAAAAGGGCCCTTTCCTCCCTCACAGCTTGCCCAGAGCCAGGTGGGCGAAGCGGCAGGCGGAGGGTGCCCCAGAGGCTCCGTTGCAGCACTGGAGGGGGCCGCTGCCCTGCCCCAGGTACCCTGGCGTTGACACCCACCCCCACACACCAGTGCTGCTGTTTGGGCCGCCTTCCTTGTGCCCCGGTGGGTTCTCTCTCCCTTCCTCTGGGCTTGGCTGGGATTGAAGCTTCCACCCCTTCCTTCCCGCCCCCCCCCCCCCCCCCCCCCCCCCCCCCCTCCCCGCCACCCAAGGACGGGACGTGCCTTCTCCAGCTGTCCAGAGTGACTCAGAGGCTGCCCTTCGGCCTGTGCTGGGCTGGAAACCTCTCTCTCCATGTCCGAATGTTTTAGCCTTGCCATACGTCTGCAGAATTGTCTGCCTCCCTCCCTCCCTCCCTCCCTCCCTCCTCTCGCGATGAGGACTAGAAAGTTACCACTGGAGTTTGTTTGGGCTGAGCAGGCTCTTGACAGATAGGGGGCAGCACTGAGAGGGGAGGGGCGGGGGTCTTGCTCCTGGCAGCAGCAGGTGAAGAGGGGCCCGGGGCCACAGGTTACCCCCCCCCCCAGCAGCTGAGAGCCCCCTCTTTCTTCTCCCCTCCCCCAGGGCCTGGGTGGACGTGTGGGAGTCCCTGGCCGGCTTCTGCAACATCCTGACCACGGTGAACCAGTCGGAGGTGCCCCTCTACAAGGACCCCGACGAGGAGGACCTGGCCCAGCTGGGCCTGGAGGAGGACCGGCTGCTCTCGGGCTTCGTCCCACTGCTGGTTGCCCCCCAAGAGCCCTGCTACGTGGAGAAGTCCTCGGACAAGGTCAGGCCGGGGGCAGCGGGCCCCTCCCTCCCTCCCTCCCCCTCCGGGCTCCTCTTCTTGGGAAGCATTTCTGTGCACACGGAACACGATTAAGTCATGGAGAGGAGGCTGTTCAGGGAAAATATCGACCTTTTAGCCGCTGACATCCAGCTCTGTGTCATGAAAACCCCCCTCGACTTCCTTCTGCTGCCGCTGCTGCGTGTGCGAGGGAGGGGGGCGGAGGGGGGCTCGCTGGCATGCCGCGCCTCCGGTCATTTCCTCCCTTGTTTAGAGAGCACAGCTTGCCTTGGCAGCCCTCCCCTTCGCTCCAAATGGCTTGCATCACGCTCCCAGCAGCCCCCTCCCCATCCTCCCACCCCACCCGGAGGGGGGGCTGCAAGGAGGAGGCCAGCGTGGAGATCCTCTGCACAGCAGCAGGCGGACCCACGGCTGTCCCACCACTTCCTGGCCCCCCTTGTGCCCCCCACCACCAGGCCTCCCAGGGGCCTCTGCGCCAACGCAGCAATTGGAGCCGGGGTTGGGTGTGCGGAGACTGGCAGGTCCCTCCCATGCGGGCAGGGGGGCCTGGAATTCTGACCGGCAATGGATTCAAAGGGGGGGCAGTGATGGAGAGAGCACCACTTCCCCAAGCAAAGTGCCTGGGCCTGCCACCCAGCCCCTTCCCGAACTCGGACCCTGGGCTGGGCAAGGGAGCACAGCACCTGTGGATTTCCCGCTGGGTCAGCACAAAAGGGGGCTCCAAAGGGAAGCGGGGGGGGGGGCTTGGAGCAGAGAGGAGGGGGAGTGAAGCAATCAATCTCGGTTGCCCCCCCCTCCCCGGATGTCTGGTCCGGGGCTGCTGGAGGGTTGGGGGGGGGGTGTCTGTGAAGAAGAGCAAAGCCCCTGTCGGCCCGCGTAATTGATGTCCGTTGGGGCTGGGGCGCTGCCAGCTTGTCTTGGCCGGGCTCCAGCGTGCTGTAATTTGGGATCCAGGTGTGAAGCGACGTCTGTTCCGTCTTGTTGCGAGGAGCACCTCGAGAGAGAAGCCGCCACTGGGGAGGTGGGAGGTGGGGGGGGCTGAAGCCTCCAGGAAGGAAGCAGCTGCGCAGGTAGACGGGGAAGGAAGCCGCCCGGCAGCAACGGGGGCTCCTCCTGGCTGGGGACGGGAAGCTGCATCTCTCCCGCACAGGTGTGATGACGGCACGAGGCAGCCTTTCTGCCAGCGGGCGCTGGAGCCGGGCCAGCACCTGCATCAGGAAGGGGGGCGCCTTCTGCACCTCGGGGGACAAGCGGCCCTCGCCAGAGAAGAAGGGGCACGGCCCCCTTGCTCCAGGGAGAGCCCAGGTGCCTGTCTTCCAGGTCAGAGGGGGGCCCGGCTCTGATCGGCCTCCGGTCATGTGGCTGCTGCTCCTGCAAGCCCCCTTTGGAGGGAGGCTTCGAGGGAAGGAGCCCCAGGACCGAGCCCCCCCCCCTTCTCCCTCCTGGCTTAAGGGCCTGTCCTGGGGGGAAGAGCAGGGGGCTCGGATGCCCTGCAGATCCAAGGAAGCTTTTGTGGAGGTGGCCCATGTGGCACCACTCCGGACAGGCAAGAAGGGGTCTTGGCACGGGGAGAAAGATGGGGCCGTCCCCCAAGAGGAAAGGGCAACCCATCTCCGGCTTCTGCAGAGACCCCTGGGGTGGGCACTGGGTTTGCCCAGGACGCCCAGCAATGCCCTTTCCGTTCATCAAGCCACACAGAGAAAAATGAGGCCACCCCCCCAAAAGAAGGAAGGCGGTGGAGAAGCCCCTGGTGACGGACAGCAGGAGGGCTCCGTCCTGGAAGAGGCCTTGGGCGCCTCTTGGGGGCAGCCGCAGCGTCCCCTTTAAAGGGGAGGGGTCCTCCGTGCTCCCTGTGCTTGGCCGTTTCTTGCAGATGTTTTATTACCTGACTAGGTAACATCATCAGTACCAGAAGGGAGAGGGGATTCGTGAGGGGAGGAGGAGGAAAAAGATTTTGGGGTCCTCAGTGCTCTCTGGCTTTGGTGGTTTTCTTGCAGACGTCTCGTGACCCAACTAAGTAACATCATCAATGCTAGCTCATCACTAGAACTAATGAAATCAGCTCGTTTGGGTAGTGAAACGTCTGCAAGGAAACCACCAAGCTCAGGGACTATCGAGGACCCCACAGTCCTCCTCCTCCTCCTGTTGGCAACCCCCCCCCCTCCCTTCTAGCCCTGATAATGCTACATAGTTGGGGAATGAAATGTCTGCAAGGAAAGTGCTAACTGGTGCCAGAGAGCCCCAAGGACTCCTCAGGTCCTCTTTTCCACTCCTGGGGTGCGTTTTGATTCCTCGGCCCAGAGAGCCGGGGGGGGGAGGGGCTTTCTGTGTACTGGAGATTGAAAGAGGAGGGAGTGGATACTGTCAAGGGGAGCGTCTGCCGCCCCTCTCCTCCTTGGACCCCTTGCTGGGGTTTGGCCTGCTGTGAAATGACGGGGGTGGGGGTGGGGGCAGCTGGGGTGGGCTTGGCTGAGGCCACCGAGGGAGGTGATGGTCTCACCTGCCCCTTTGCTCCCCAGCCCTCCATCTCTCTCTCTCTCTCTCTCTCTCTCTGCTGACGGAAGCTGCAGAGGCACCCACTCCCCACTCCCTCTCTTTGCAAAGTCCCAGGGGGCAGGGAGGGAGGGAGGGCGGGAGGGGTGGCCTCTCTGGGGCAGAGGAGGGTCCCAGGTTTCTTGTTTGCAAAGCTGCCAAAGCGACTGAGGCTGGGGGAGCCCTGGCCTATGGGGGCAGCAGCAGGCCGTCCGCTGATGCCCGTCCATCCTTGGGGTCCCTGGGAGCTCCCGGCTCCTCCCTGCCCCGCTTCCCCTTGCATCCCATCCGCTCGCTGGCTCGGCAGCGTCTGGGGAAGCTCTGGAGGGCGTCCAGGTGTCACGGCTGGCGGGGGTGCCCTGCCAGGGGAGGGGGCGGGGGGGAGCCGATAGGATCAGCAGCAGCCGCTGGAGGTGCTGGCACCGTTTCAAATAAACCAGGCATGACCCAAAGCTCCCACTTCAAATGGGGAAAGAAATTGCTTCATCCCTTTGACAGCTTTGCTCCGTGGAATGAAATTTATCTTCCCTTAATTGCTTCGCATCCCAAGAGGCTGCGTGCAGTAATTCCGAGGAGATAATTACCTCAAATTAAAAAAATATGTGGCTCCGTGTTGCACCTCCGAGGGCCGAGGGGGAGGTTGTGGCCACAGGTTCCCCCTCCCCCCAAAACAGTCAGCAGAGTGAGGGGCTCTTCCCATCTCAGGAATGGGTCCCTGGCCCTCTTCAAGGGGGGGGCAGACGAGGGGTCCACTGGGGACGGAGGGCATGGTTGATCCCTGCCCACATGAGGGCCGCGGAGCCTCCCCCCAACCCTCTCCCACCAGGATGGCAAAGCCCTTGCAAGCCCCCCTCCCCCCAGGCTGCCTTTCCATCTCTGGGGCAGCCTGGCAGCTCACGTGGCAGCAGGAACGTTGGCCAGGCGGCCACCGAGCTTGGCACAGACCCGCCACGGAACGAGTGGTGGGAACTCTCTGCTGGAAAGCTCCGTGGAAGGAAACGGACGAGAGGGGCCAGGAGAAAAGGGGGCACAGTCTGATGGAGGAGAGAGGCAGGACGGGGGCCCAGCCACACAGGATAACAAGAGTCGGAAGGGACCTTGGAGGTCTTCTAGTCCAACCCCCTGTTCAAGTTCTGGTTGGCTTGGGGAGAAAAGAGAGCCAGGAGAAGCCCTTTCCCCATGCCCCCCGGGGGCTCCCCAGTCGACTCCCTCCCCATGCGCCTCCGTGCCCACGAGCCCTGCTGGGTGGCAGCGCAGAGATAGAGCCCCCTCCCTGGGCCCTGCTCAACTTACGGCCACAATGGAGCCAAGAATTTACGTTGCTCAGTGAGAAATTTGTTAGGTGAGTTTCATCCCATTTTAGGACCTTTCTTGCCACAGTTGTTACGTGAATCATTGCAGTCACTAAGTTAGTAACACAGTTGTTAAGTGAATCCAGCTTCCCCGTTGGCTTCGCTGGTCAGAAGATCGCGTGACCCAACCGTCATAAATGTGAGTCAGCTGCAAAAGCCTCCAAATGTCAATCACGGGCCCACGGGGGAGGCTGCAATGGTGGTGGGTCTGAAAAACGCTCACCTTTTTTCAATGCCAATGTTCTGACTTAGAACGGTCACTAAATGAACTGTCATAAGTCAAGGACCAGCTGCCCTCCGTCCTTCCAATTTCTACCTTCCGGGTCGTGTCAGAAAGCAGACCAGGGAAGAGCAGCTGAGAGGAGCCCCCGTCCACTCCATGCAGCCCCCTCCCATAATAATCCACCCCACCAGAAGGAGGGGAGCTCCTGACCTCCTCCCTCCTCCTCCTCTTGCTCTTGCTCCTCCTCCGCTTCCTCCTGCTCCTCCTTGCTCCTCTTCCTCTTCTCCTCCTCCTCTTCCTCTTGCTCCTTGCTCCTCTTCCTCCTCTTCTTCCTTCTCCTCCTCCGTCCTTCGTGCGGCAACCTCTCAGGCTTCACCTGATTTAAAGTGTCGGGGAAACAGCTCCTCTCCCCAGAGGCAACCTTGGACCCTCGGGGAGCCCCCTCCCTGGGACACAGGAAGCCCCCCAGGGGCCTCCGCCTCCCTCCCCAGCGATGTGGTGGCGGCCGTGACGGCTTCTGTGCCTGCCTGCCTTCTTCACGCCGCCCTTCCAGGGGCAGTGGGGTGACTTCGGTCCCCAAGGAGGGAGGCTGCTTCCAAGGGCTGCCCCAGAATCCCTTTATTCCAGGCTTACTTGCTGCCGGTGAATTCCTGGCGGTTAACAATATCAGGGCAACACAGGCTGTCCTTGACTTACAGCCGTTCGTTTAGTGGCCATTCCAAGTCACAACCGCACTGACACAAGGGACTTTGGGCCATTTCCTCACACTTACGTCCTTTGCAGCACTGCCACGTGGTCAGAGTTCGGACGCTTGGCATCTGCTTCATATTTATGACGGTCACAGTGTCCTGAGGTCGGGTGATCCTGCCAATCAA